AGCTTTTTTTTTTTCCTTTTGCAAAAAGCCAACATTCAAACCTGCAGCAGCGCTGCTAAAGGGGCATAAAAATCCCAGTGAAGAATTTTCTCGGCCCTTTATAACCCTCCCTAAATTGCCTACAGAAGTGCAGGATTAGTGACATACATACATCCTGCCTCTTTTGGCACTCTTCCAACCCAACTGAATTTCTCCAAGCTGCATTTCCAGCTGCTTCTGAACAGTTCCCAGATCTTTTCTACTAAATGGATGGAAATGAGGGAGAAAAATTTGCTCAGGCGGGGAAGAAGACTTCTGAGTAAGAGAGTCACTATATTTGGAGGGGTTCTGTTTATAACATGATTCGCCATGGCCCATTTTTCTTCTTTTTTGCCCCTTTTTCCTTCTTATTATGACTGGTACAAGAGAACGGGCACACGTATTTCCCTTTCGTTCGTAAGCCCAGCACTAGACAATTAAATTGTACCTGTTTCCATTTTGTTTGTTGTGGACAAATAAACCATTCCTGTAGGCGCAGCAGATCCCCACTGTAATCAGGGACAGGACGACCAGCACGACCAATACTCCAGCCACTATCCCGACAATATTAAGGTCATCTGGAGAAGGAAAAGGAGCATCAGTTTCCACGTCCGCCTTCCGACATGCCCCACTTACAGGAGTGTTCTGGCTTCGTGACCCCGTCTACCAACCAAAGCATCTTTCTACAGCAGAAACTCTTTGGCTCCCTTGTAGTCCCAACATCCTGGTTGGGCTACCCCAGAGGCAACTCCAAATAGCAAAGGAAAAAAAACCCACACCAATCCTAAATGGTAGAAGATGCTATCTCTTGCCTTGTATTTTTCATCAGAGATTTTTTGCTGTTGCCCTTCACAAGCCTTACAAGGCTTGTCTTCTGAACCCGCATTCAGCCTTGCCTTGCTCTGTCGCTCTGAAACATCGTCTTGTAGAAGCTGGTCTTGCCTTCATGCTTAACCTTAACCTTAATGCTCTCTGGTTTGCTCACAGGCATGGCCTGGCAGGGCTCTGTGACAGAAATGCCACCCACCCCGGCTTGGCCATAGATAGGTAGTTCTCGCTTAACAACCATTCATTCAGCGACCGTTCTAAGATACGACAGCACTGAACAAATGGTACTTACAACGGATCCTCGAGTTCTGGCTGTCACAGCATCCCTTTGGTCGCATGAACCAAATTCGGGCACTTGACAGCCCACCTGCATTTACAACTGCAGAGTGAGCTTCAACTCTCCCCACTGGCCTATCTCCCTCCATCTCTGCCCTTTTGACCACTCTGCGCTCTGCTGCCCTGCACTCCACCCTGCACCTGTGCCACCCTGTGCTCCATCGCCCCCAGCTGACCTTCACTGTCTTCTTCCTCCTGCTGCTGATACGGTACACACGGCACGGCCCTTTGCAAGGCAGCTGCTGGCTGTGCGCAGGGTGGCAAGGGTGGCGGAGCACAGAGTGGCCAAATGGGCAGAGATTTGGGGGAGATAGCCAGGTGGGAGTTGAAGTGGAGGTGAGCGCAGCAGGGCAGGAGAAGTATGAGGTCCTTGCCTAACAAGGGCACAGTCCTGGCCTAATGACCACAACTGGGGTTACCCAAACTACCATCGCTAAGCAGTGTAGTCACATGTTTCACTTAACGACCGCTTTGCTTAGCAACATAAATTCCGGTCCTACTTAGGATTGTTAAGTGAGGACTACCTGTAAGCTGAACCGGATGTTGCATACCCCACCATCTGACCCTCGAGCTTTGTGTTCCTACTCACAGACTTCCATTTCGATTCCTTCACACCAGGCTTCCCCAACGACATTCATCGCTCGGCAGCTGTAGCGACCAGAGTCTCCTTTCTGCACTTCGACAAAGACCTGCACGAAGGAGAATTATGGTGAGTTTCCCAGGCGCTTGGAGGATTGCACTTCCTCAATACAGGCCCCACTTGCAGGAAACCATGCCATTTTGGAACGCAGCTTTGGAAGGAAGTGTGTGTGGTACTTTAGCTTCCTGTGACTAAAAGAAAGAAAAAAGGGAAGGGAAAGAAACAGCCCTGCTTGCAGAAAAAGAAATAAAGGAAAGAACAGCTGAAGTCTAGCCTTTCTCTTGCCATGCTAGGTTTCCATGTGTTTCCTACAAAGACAGCCATCTCTTTCTCCCTGCCCTATCTTTGCTTACTCCCTGCTGTATGGAATTACCTGTCGAAAACCCATTAAGGATGGGCTTCTGATTCCCTTTATCGTATCAGGCACATAAACCAGTACGGGCCATAAAGTTCTTCCCCACCTGAATTCCAAAGGTCTATTATCTCAGGTGCGGCCATCCAAGTGTCCCCTTTCTGCACACTTTATCAGTTAGAAGCTGTAAATGAAACATGCAGCCAAATCTGGCAGTTTATCCTTCCTCCAAGCAAGCTGAGGGTTCTGGCCAATCAGCCAGATATCCCCTCCTTCAACACATCCCATTCCATAGACAATTTCCCCCTGGACTCTTCAGGGGATGGAGTGGGCGTGAGGTTCGATTAAAACCTGGCTTTGGTCTCAGGCCTAGGTTTGGGGGGGGGGGGCTGGTGTGGATTGTGATCGTTGTGATGGCTTCTGTCCAGGCTGCCCACGGCGTTGTATGTTTTTAACAGTTTTTATTCTTTTTGCATTTGGTAAGCAGCCTGCAGTAAAGTGGACAGCTATCGTAAGTTTAAATTAATAATAATAAAAAACAATCACGTAATAAAAGATTGCCTCCTTACTCCCCTCCCCTCCTCCACACCCACCACACGTACAAGATCACTCCTAGAAAGAACGAAAAGCTGAGCTGAAGGCAATGAAACGCCCAAGCCGGTTTGCAGAGAACGCGGCACGCTCTGCCGGCCGAGAGGGTATGGAATTCCAAAAGCCCCAGCAATGACCCAGCAGTTCCGTTCTTCCTGCAGCCTATCCGTCATGAAAACAGCCAGTCCGAGGTTGCCCAAGGTCTGCATTCCCTGGATGACCCAATCTCCAATTGCTGCCTGCAGACAACCTTGGAAAATCTCCTCCTTGGAAAAATACAAGCCACAGCTGGCAAGGGAGATGGTGAGGTTGGCAGAACACGGGCCAGGAATCAACTCTGCTACATTTTGCACCCATATTTAGTGCACAGAAGGTCAGCTAAAGGATGCATCAAGGCAGGTGATACTCAGATCTCTCCTTTGCTGCCCAGTTCCAAGCAAAGAGTATTTAGCTCTAAGTTGTTGTTGTTTAGTCGTTAAGTCGTGTCCGACTCTTCGTGACCCCATGAACCATATTGCGCCAGGCCTTCCTGTCCTTCACTGCCTCCCT